TCTTTCTTAATATCAAAGAATTGAGATGACATGCAATGTGTGTGTGTTATACACCAGTCAAGGAATACTGACCCTTTCAGCCTTTTACAGAGGGGTTATAATAAGGAGATCATCCAAACAATTATTAATATCGAGGTTTAGGAAAAAAGATTGGTGACCTGGATTGGTCACTTCAAAAACCATGTCGGATTGGTGGATCAGCGATCCGGATTGAAGAATCAACCAGATCAGAGGGTTTTTCGCTCAAAGCTTTTTCAAAAAATGGTAAAATTTATTTAAAATCTAGTTTCTTATGTTTTCAAAGAAATTTGAGCTATTGCATTGTAGATTTTCACTATTTTATTGAAAATATGTAAATACTGATAACTTGAACACAAAATCTATTTCATAGTCAAAATGTAGTTTAAAATACAACTCATTACAATAAAAATAAATCTATCTAACTCACAATTTCAATTTTAATATTTTTATAATCTGTATCATCAATTGTGATTGTAAAAACAGATGATCTTGCCTATTCATTTCTTATTTTTTTCTCTTTTTAAAAAATTAATTTAGTATATTACTTATTTTCCATTTGTATTTTTATTGCAATGAAGTTGCATAGATCTAAGGATCAAAGTATGTTTTTATTTTATTTTTCATTTTTTTTGTGGGACTTCCTCCTTCGCTATATTGCTTTGTTAATTGTTTCTAAATTTTATTTTGCTTTAATTTAACTTGATATTTTCTTGTCCTAGAAGAGCTTGTTAAGTTTTCTTTTTGTTTCATTTTTATAAATGTGTGCTTTTCATTTCCCATCACTAATCTAAGCTTCATATTTTGGTATGCTTTTGATTCGAATGGCTGGAGTGAATGTGGTCGTTCATTTTGTTATTGGGCTCAATTAGTGGGTCGCTTTTCTTATCAAGCTCAATTTCATTTACTTAAATCAATGTTTGTTGAGTGCACGTGATGGTATAAAAGCATAGGAGCTTCTATCCACATTGTTTTATATAGGCCTATAAATTAGGGTAAGTAAAAATAAATGTAAATTTGGAGCTTTCATCCCAAATTGTTGAAGACGGAGAGGTTGTTGTCGTGTAAAAATATGGAGCTTTTATCCCAAATTGTTGAAAAAGAAGAGGTGGTTGGCGTGTAAAAATATGGGCCCTTTCATTAATTTTATGAAAAAGTTGAAGATCCTATATTAAAAGGGGGTGGGTAAAAAATTCAAATTTTAAACCGGTTCGGCACGGTTCTATTAATCACAAAAGGGGGTGGGTCTTGGCTTCATGATCCCTCTTAAAAAACAAAAAATAATAATAATAATTCAACTTTTAAACTGTTTTTGGATAGTTTTATCCATTTTTGACATAAATAACTACTGTCGTTAGAAAATTGGTACGGACCAAACCGGCCGATTCTAAAGGGGTTCATCCAAATCCCAATACATTTAGAGATTTAGAATGTTGATAACTATTATCGATCCAAATATTTCGATTATGATCAAAGTTTGATCATCAAACGGTTAAAGTCTAAACTCCCATTCTCACCTAATCCCTACAAACTACTGACTATTTAGAAAACAGGCAGGGGGCTTGTCATCCCCGTTGAATTACCAAAAAAAAAAAAACTTTATTTGAAGCTGTTTATTTTTATTTTTACTTTCTGGTTTTTTTCGTTTGGGAATTGACTGTCTTTTTCCTATTTCATGACCAAAAAAAAAAAAGTAACCCGTATCCAAATAAGAGTACGAGACGGACCTGAAGATGGCGAGCAGCTCGGCGCGCCGAGCCGTTAAGAATAAGAGCTGAAGCGGCACACCAAAAACTTAAAAATATTAAAATCCTTGGAAAAATCTAAAAAAAAAAAAAGAGAGTTAAAAGGGTCACACGGCATGGTCAGGCACGCCAAAATGTGCCCTTTGTCTTTTATTAATTTAGCAAAATGACTAATCACATCATGAACTTTTATATTAATGCCTTAAACACCCTCCCGTTTTCGAGGAAGAAGGCCTTTTCTTTGGCGGTGTCACAAATCTATCACCATTCATAATTTCATATGATCGAAAATTTTAGTTTAGGGCCTTTGTTTGTTCTGATTTGCTCAATTTCTATTACATTTAGGTGGCATGGTAACTGAAACCTAGGATGATAGATAAATTTGGGGTAAATTCTAATGAGTTCCACATGTAAATTTCAATTTTTTATTTATGTTCATTTCATTTGCAATGTTCAAGTTCTTTGGATGGAAAAATACCGAACTGAATGTATGAGTTCATAGACTTCATTTTCCCTAATTTTCACAAAATAAAACTCTGCAAAACAACTAAAAAAGAAGAAGAAATAAACTACAATAGAGAGAGGGAGAGAGAGAGAGGTTTAGAAATGAATTAAAAATGATATATTTTTTTACTTTTGTTTGGACGAAAAATGTGTGGTTAAAAGATATAAAGTTCGTCGAGAGGGTTGGAAGATATACTATGCAAATCTTTGTGTCACGAGATATGTTTTAAAACCCTGATCTGTTAAAAAATAAAATTTAAAAGATGAACGGAGATAGTTTCCCTTATTTAAACAATCTGTTTCTATTTTAATGCAGTGACTTGAAATACAAAGTTATTTTTTATCCTTTTCTTTTATTTTTTTCAGTTTTAGAGCTAATTCGCTCTGAACTAACAAGCCAACCCATCCCAATGGGTGGCTCAATTGGCACCCTCTTTCTTTTCCTGTTTTTTTTTTTTGGGGTGAATCAATGGAGTTGATGGGGCTTTTTACCATTCCGGCGTCAGCACCCGTATTTGGGATTTTAAACACTAGCACCAAGTACCACATTCTATTCGAAGGATGGACTCGAAACCCAAAACAGCTATTAGACGTCATTTTTCTACGAGGAAAAGTTTATATAGAGCCTAGCCTCTAAACAATCAAATTAAAGCCTATCTCAAAACTTTCACTAGAAGAGGTTGTTTTGATGCCCAAATATCATCAAATTGATCTTCCCAACATCAAGATGCATGGACATGAGAAAAAGATGGATTTTAAGTTTTGAAATCGTGCACATCTTGTCCTGCATTTTTTTATCATCAATTTTCAAGATTTTCAAGTTTTTATAGTTCTGCTTGATCTACACTATCTTTGAAGCTTTAAATTTTATAAATAAAGATAAAAATATAATTTAAGGCTATCACAAAACTTTTCAGTGTTGAAACTATATTTCTCAACATTATTTGAAGGTAGGCTCTAATTTGGTTATTTAGAGCCTCAGCTCTAACCGCACTCTTTTCTACATACACTTGTATTTTGAAGGAAAGCGTAGAAAAATTAACAAAATATTTCAAACCCACAAAGTTATGGCTGCAACAAGAATCACCTTTCATTTGAACTCCGGATCAATATTGAAATAGCAATTACTTTTTATAGTTTTTTAACATTATTATTGAAAGGAAAATGGTTTGATAGGGCTGCAGTTCTATTAAAATAAGTAAAGCCTCGTCTCATAATTCATCAAAAAGTACAATGCAAGCATTGAAAGGCCTTTACATTGTGAAAAAATTTTAGGATTTTAATCTCTAAAAATCGTGTACATTGTAACAAATTATCTAGATCGTCAATTTCAACCTAAAATTAAGTGTTTGTAGATCCACAAAATCTATTCCATTTTTAAAGTTTCAAAATTAATTATCAGTGTTGGAAATTGATTTAGACCTAGAGAATTTCGCTGTCGAAAGTGCTTTCCAAAAAAAGATTTGAGGTGAGGCTTTATTTTATTTTTCAACTTACACTAAGTGTATACAGCAGTGGTAAATTATGAAACTATATTGTAGCCATAATTTAGAGAGGGAGAAACTTGAGAGAAAAGTGAGAGAGGAAGTAAAAAATAGTGTTCGATTACCCGAGCAAGGCACAAATTTGCCCGAATAACTCGGGCTCATCACCCTGTGAGCCTGAGTATCCCGAGTTTATCTCATGCTCAAGGATACTAAAAGAATTCCAAAAAATTATAAAGATTCCAAAAAAATGGATATTTATTTATAATATATTTTTTTATGTTTTCTATCATTTTGGTAAAGATTGGAATTTGAAAAAACCAAATTCATCTCTAGAATTATTGGTTCTAGAATCATAAAGAAATAGACTTATTGGATTGGAACTCAAATCAGAATTCAAATGGATGTTGCGATTGATCCCGAAGAGAAAAATGGAGAAAGAAAGAAGTACTTTGTCTTTATTGATATTGAAATGAATTGTTTTGGCATGATTTTTTTTGCTTCTTTTTGGATAATTTTTAAAATACTTCCGGTTGTAAATTAGTTTTTTTAAAATCTATTTTTTTTACTATTATTTAACCTCATGTAGATGTAGCATTTTTTATATTTTTTTTGATATTTTTATTTTTATTATTTTGCAGTACTTTTGACCCTGGCCAGACCTGACTCGGGCCGAGTAACTTGAAATGCGACCGGGCTTATGTGGTTAGTGCTTGACGATTTGCAACGCCACGTCTTAGATTCAATTCCTACCAAGGACAAGGGTCTCTCCCCACTAATTCACCAAAAACACAACCAAAAAAAAAAGAGTTACTTAGCTACTCGGGCTCAACCTATGGCGGAGTTCATCCCCGAGTCGTGGTTTTCCAACATTTGTTTTTTTTTCTTTTTTTTTTTTTTTTGCTTTTTGAAAAAAAAAAAAAAAATAAAGAAGAAAGGCTAGTGCGTAATAACCCAGAAAAGGCACTTGAATAATGGCTAAATGTTTTTTGGGTGAATAAGTAATAGCTAATATTAAATTCAATGCCATAGCTATCTTCCTATCATTTCCACTAAAAGAAAGGCTAATTTTGGTATTTGACCTTTCCAAACTTTTCTTGAACCCCAATACTCTCTCTCTAGACTATATCAGAGACCCGTAACGTCCCATTGAGTTGAGCCCCACACTCTCGACTTCAGAGAAAAAAGTAAAAAAAAAAAAAAAAAACCAACCAAAAATAAGCCAAATAATATATATATATATACATAAAACCGACTCTTCAATCTCACCTCTCATTTTCCCTCCAAAACCTGTAACTTCTCTCTTTCTTCTTCCTCCGCCAAATCTAGCGGCGCTCCGCCAAGTGCGGCTAAAAATGGCGGACTTTCCCCCTAACTTAGACGACGGGGAGCTTTGGCTACCGTCCGATTTTTTTCCAGATGAAATCTATCCACCCAACCATGCGCCCCCCTCGAAGTTTCTTCACTCGTCTAAATTTAGCGGCGGTGCTAAATTTAACCCTGAGTTTCCGTGCGAGCTCACCTACATGGAAGACCTTGCGAACCAGCTCGCCCTCGCCATACTCGATGAGAAACCCTCTCCTAAACCACCTCCAAAAATGCCTCCAGTTTTAGAGGTACTCTCTCTCTATATATATATATCTACCCCCTTTCCCCTCTTTCTTCTTCTTCTTCTTTTTCATGCATTCTCTGGTTTTTCTCGTTACCTCCTCTCTTAAAAACCCAATTTCTTAAAAACCAGTCATTTTAAGTGGATTTTTCGGTAAAGCTAGTTTTCTCTGACTTTAAAATCCAGTTGGTTTCTCTCTCTTCAAAACCCTGTTTTCTTCTCTTTCTTTCACATTTTTTTTGTGGTTCTCTGCTGTTTTGTTCATTTCTCTTGGTTTTTGTTCTACTTTTTGCAGATACAGAACCAGAGGCCAAGCTCTCGCCCCCTGGTTAACCCTCGCTTCGGTGAAAATACTTTTGAGAAAAGCGGTTTTGGGGCTCTCTCAAAAAGCGGCTTTGGTAACCCTGGTTTTGATTGCAGTCGAGCTTGTACAGGTCTCAAACCACTGCCTTTTCAGAAACCAGGCCGTACCCGAATGGTGAGAGAGTGAGAGTTACAAGAAAACGGTTACTTTCCATTTTAGTTTTGTTGGTTTCTGGTTCTTTTGTGGTTTTTGATGGCGGTGTTTTTTGCGCAGCAGGTTCAGAGGCAGATGAACCAGCCGTTACCATTTCAGGCAATTGGAAGTGAGGTGGGTTCCTTGAGGGGCTCTAATGGAACTGGTGTGTTTCTTCCTCGTATTTTTCATGCTGATACGGGTACCACACAGAAGCAGAGTAAGCTTTTTGTTTTTTTTTTTTTTTGAGTGGGTTTTCATTCTTTTTGGCATTTAGAGAGACAGACATTCAAAAGAAGATTCCATGGAGTAAAAAGACCCATTGGAGCTTACAAACCTCAAAATGTATTTATTAAATCTCTCTCTCTCTTAAACTTTTGTTTGTTGCCTTTAGTAAATTAAATATCTTATGCTGTTGCTTTTATACATTTACAGATTTCAAAGTTGCAGAGAAAAAACAGGAACAAAACAGGAATGTGGGTGGTGTAAGGAAGAGAGTGACATTTCAGAGTGTGCAGAGGTCACCTGAGTTGGGTTTACCTCAAGATTGGACCTATTGAAGTTAGAGAGAGAAAGAGAGAGAGAGTCGGGGGGAGTAAATGCCCCTATAAGACTTTGTACTCTTGTATCAAAGGAGTAGCAGAGATCAGAAAGGCTAGGAATAAGTATTCAAGATGAGAGAAAAGTAAAAGGAAGCAGGAATTCCATCATGGTTTTGGTGCAGGTCTGTAAAAACAAAAGGGTAAAAGCGAGTACGATAAAGTTTTAGAGAGAGAAACGCCACAGGGCTAGGGTTGGTTGCATGGATTGGGACTGTACAAGCCTGTGAATACAGTAATAAAGTTCCTTTTTTTTGAGAATTTTGTTAGCACTAATGGAAATTACTGCTTGCTTTTCTAATACTCATAAAATAAACTCTAGTCTAATTAAATAAATAGATTTCCTCTCATATTTTTTTTTTTTACCCTTTTGCATCTTATTCTCACTGTAAAAATCACCTTTTTAACTGATTTTATGAAACTTTTTGGGAACTTTTTTCTCACTCACTTGTAAATCAGTGATATTGCCTATATCTTTTTGAAAAATTTACGTACGGAGGTGAATTTCAAAATGGTAACACGTTTGTTCTGAATTAAAGCGAACTCTTATTTTTGTTTTTTTATACCAAACTACTCATTTTCTGGTAAACCAAATCAGAAAGCTGGTGGGTTGGGAAGAGAGAAAACATGAGAATTGTGGGTCTTCTATCTAGAAACAATGAAGAGAGAGAAGAGATTCTTGTGCAGGAATCAGGGAGCGTTAATGGCGGCTCAGAGTTGGAGCGTTAAATTTGAAGAGGGCACTCTATGAGATCATGAGATTAAGCAGGTTTGATGGCAACAGGGCCATTAATGGAGATCAAGGCGAGGAGAAAGGCAAGAAGTGGTTTCGTTTGACAAGGCATAGGCTCGCTAACAGGGCAAGCAGGGCGAGTTTCTCATAGTTCCATTAATAGTGGATTAATACTAAAAAACCAGAGCTCCTTTGAAGTTGCAGAAGCCGAAGCGAAAGCCAAAGCCAAAACCATAGAAAAAAATACCCCAATTTGGCTTTAACTTCTTATGAGTAATTATGAAGCCAAAATCAGAGAAAACAATACCCCAATTTAGCTTTAACTTCTTATGAAGAGGTTCCTAAAAACATGAAAACCCCCTCTTTTCTCTTCAATCAAAACCCACAATATTAAGAAACTACAGGGTTGAAGCCTCGAATGATGCTTCCTCATTTGTCTGAAATTTCTCCAAGCACAGAAGCCATCTCTCTTTGTAATTTTTCGGTCCTAAAAGAAGGCGAAATTTCAGGCGCATAGGTTTGGACTTTCGAGAATCTCTGTCTCTCTGGCTCGGATCTGGACTCTCTAACTCTATTACAAACACAATACCCATTCTCGCACGACCGGAAATTCCCCAATTTTGTGCCATGAGCCCCATTTCTAAATTTATCGGGCTAGACCCATCTTCCTGGTTCTTCAGCTCCCGATCTTTGATCTCTTAAGCAAGAAAACTTTAACCTGGTTAAGTAACAACGATGCTATGGGTGGCTGCTCAGGGCTCTAGAGAGAGAAAAGAGAGCGTTAGAAGAAAAATGAGGGAAAAGAATGGCAGAATTGGTTTGGGAGATTCAGATAGTAAATCTCTAGTTTTGTTTTTTTTTTTTCCAATATAGTCCGTATGTAAATATTTTTTTTTTAAAGATGGTCTGGTCTTACCGTTGCTTCTTTTTTATTTTCCAATATAGTCCGTATGTAAATATTTATTTATTTATTTATTTTTTGAGAGTTGCTTTTTTTTTTTTTTCAATATAATCCGCATGTAAATATCTTTTTTTTGTTTTTTTAAAGATGGCCTGGTCTTACCGTTGCCTATATAGAAAAAGACAAGCTAAAAGCACCGTAATCAAAGGGTGCTTATGTTAACGATACAAATCCTTTGACTTTGAAAAGGCACTTGTTTCGAAGATTTCGGTGAAAAAGTTGTGGGGCAATTTCGACATTCTCTCTCTATTGTGATCGGGGCCGCCTAGTTTTAAAAAATTAAGGTTTGGGTCACAAGCAACTGTGCTCTGAGCCTTGAGATAGGGCTAGGGTTAGGTCTAGAGCTTGTAGCGTCCTAGCTGGCCTCTGTTTTTGTCTTTTTATTTTTAGTTTTTTTGGGTACGGTTTATATACGACCTAAGCTCTAAACTTGAATTTTTTTTTTTTTATCGTGTCTATACATTTTGATAGCCTCTGTTTTTTTCTTTTTTTTTTTTAAATCTCTTTTGGGTGCGGTTTGTATAAAGCCTAGGCTCTAAATTAGAAATTTATTTATTTATATATGAGTATTTATTTATTTTACAATGCGGTTATAATCACTTTTAGTCATTCTATACTATGAGACTATTTATCAATAGAGGAAACCAATTCTTGATCTGAATCTGTCAATTTTGATTTGGATCATTGATTATTAAAACATCGGATGAAAGTGTCACAATAGTTGATTAATTTTGTTTTGGATAATGTGTTTAAACAATAGCACACTCTCAACCACCCGATTTTAAATCAAACAGACAACGATGATTTTGACATCATTATATCAAAAGTAAAAGGGTGTGGTTTGTATAGATCTCTAAAGCATCAAATTAGAGCTTCATTCAAATACTGTTGAGAAATGTGGTTTCCATACTGGAAATCTTTTTGATAGCCCTAAAATATATTTTTATCTTTACTTATAAAGTTTAAAGCTTCAAGAATAGTATAGATCGAGAGATTTATGAAAACTTGAAAATCTTGAAAATTGACGGTCAAAAAATACGTTATAAAATATAATATTTTCAAAACTTGAAATACTTTTTTTTTTTCTCATGTCCATGTTTCTTGATGTCAAGATGATCAATTTGAGGAAGTTTGGGCATCATAACAACCTCTTCTAGTGAAGTTTTTGAGGTAAGCTCTAATTTGATTGTTTAGAGCCTCAACTCTTTATAAACTATTACCAAAGTAAATCGTCTCATGTACACTTTTTTTTTTTTTTTTTTTTACGGGAGGTTTGTATAAGGTGTCAACCTTATACAATTGAAGTAAGGTGCACCTCAAAACCATGCCGAAAATGTACTATTAATACCACAAAGTCTTGCAATGATACGAAAATCTCCAATTATGAAATTTAAAGTTTGTAAAATAGTGACGATCAAGCACATCTATAAGCACTTGAAAATCTTAAAAATGGATGGTCCAAACAATATGTTAAAAGATGAACTATTATCAGGTCTAGAAATTCTCTTTTTCTTTTCTTTTTTCCTTTTTCATAAATCTCGAGATCGAGATGATTGATTTGAAGATTTTTCAACATAAACACAACCTTCTCTAGTGAGTTTTTAAGTGAATTTTACTTGTACATTATAAAGTTGACATATTGTATAAACTTTTTCCTTCTTTGTATCATTTGTTTTTAGCCGAGCATGTGCCCTAGTCAGGCCTAAGAAGGAGCCTAGGCCAGGCCAGGAGCATTGCCACCGTTGATTGTGAACCAATGCTCGGGCAAAATTAGGATGGTTGAGCAAATTTGTCATTTTTTTAAAGTGGGAATCTTGTTAGTAAAGGACACGCTTGGTGCTAGAGGCTGGCCCTGGTCCCTAGTTGCCTCCCAGTTTTAGGTACGGGCATGGCCATGGTATGATGGCATTGGGTATCATCATGATGCATGCATGCGTCATCAATACATTTGGAGATTTGGATGGGGTCCAATGTCATGATGCCACGTTGTGATTTCATGTCATTTACGAAACTTTATTTGAAGGAATTTAATGCTTGGGAGAAATTTATTAATGGGGTGATCTTATGATGTCATGTGGAATGGCATGGAGTTGTAATGATCATAATGTTTCAACCAACTTTCTCATATCCCTGCCTGTCTGGGCTTCGATATAGAAATGTTGTTGGGCTATTTAGGGTTGGAAAGGTTTGGACCTAGGGAGCTTCTTTGTTGTTTGTCTAGGGCCGCCTTGTGGAACACCTGAATGACTGCAATACCTGATCTGATCTAGTGATGCATCTCTACTTATATCATCTATTTTGGCCGAGGTCGAAGTCTTTGGATTTTTGGCCTAGATCGATATAAAGTGAAATGAAGTTTTAGGACACTATTTTGGCTTTGCTTTGGGCCGCTTCGCCCCATTTCAATATGATTCAACCTCTTTGGCTGAAGCAAAGCATGTAATTATTTTTTATTTTTTTTAATTTTTTATTTTAAAATTTGTATTATTTTAATATATTTTTATATAGAGATATATATTTTGTTTACATTTTTTTGTTTTTTTAAATTACCGAAGTCTTCATGGAAATCGGCTGAAACATTGAATACTTTATTTTTTTACCAAACTGAAGAAAGCTCCAAAAGCGAAGTTGACAACACTGATCTATGCACATTTTATGTTGCCCTATACATTTTTCTCTCTTTAGATTCATGATTTTATAGCTTAAATGGTTTCATTTTTAAAGACTTATGATTTTACAAGCTCAAAAGTTACGAAGAATTAAAATGAGTAGTGATAAACGCCTCAAAATCGAAGTCTAAAATAATCTATTCTTAAGGTTCAAAATTTTTATATGTATTTATTTTCATCGTCATCATTATGGTACTTGAGACTAACCATATGCAAAATTTTAAGTCCAAAATGATGGATTTTTGAAAGAGACCACATTTGAATAAGGGTGCAGTTGGCATACGAATGCATCCGTAGCTGTAGAGGTAACGTGCACCTTCAAATTTTATCATGGTATATAATTTTGATGTAAAATGTTCTTGGGATTATCTCAAAATTTAATTTTATATCTCATTATAAAATTTTAAATTTAAAAAATGATTAAAATCAAATAGGTCTATAAACACATGAAAATCTTGAAAATGGACGATGTAGATAATATGTTGTAAAAAGCACTATTTCTGAGACTTAAAATCTTTTTATTTGTTTAATGGTCATACATCTCGATGTCGAGATGATCAATCAAAGGGTTTTTCAACATCAAAACTACCTTTTCCGATGGATTTTTGAGGTGCATCCGTAGTTCTTCATTATAAGTCCCAATCGGCTTTTATAAAAGGTCGTCATATCAAAGATACTATGTTGGTTGCGTGGGAATGCATTCATTTTCATGTTCTCAGTAAAAAAGAGGGGGTCATGTTAAAATTGGATATGGAACAAGCCCATGACAGGGTGGAATGGGGGGCCCTGCTTAAAGTAATAAAAATGATTGGTTTTGGAAATAGATAGAGAAGCTGGATTTTTGGGCAAGTAGCCATCCTTTACAATATTGCTAGATTTTTTAAAATTTGTGAAGTTATTATGGGTATCAAAGTGAATTTCCACAAGTCTTCTTTGGTAACTATTAATTGTGGGGGCAATGTAGCGGTGAATCTGGCAAGAGTTGTGGGCTGTAAAATAGCAAGTTTCCCCATTTTCTATTTGGGCTTGCCTATTTCTGGTACCAAGTTCCCTATTGCTGTGTGGGATAAAGTTATTGAAAGGGTGCAAATTAAACTTGACTTATGGAAGCACAAGTATCTATCTCTTGGGGGGAGGGTCACACTACTGCGGTCCTGCTTAGCCAATCTCCCTGTATACCAGATGTCCTTGATCCAAATGCCGGCTTCGATGGGAAGAAAGCTTGAGAAAATGATGAGAGATTTCCTTTGGGGCTCGAACGATGACCACAGGAAATTCCACTTGGTTAGATGGGACAAAGTTTGTACTCCTAAACGTGAAGGAGGTCTGGATATTCAGAATGTTAGAAAGTTTAATGAGGTTCTTTTATGCAAATGGTGGTGGCGGAGTATTATTTCTAAGGACCAGCTCAGGTATAATGTTCTCATTGCTAAGTATGGCTTGGACATTCATCGTTTGTGGATTGGTGGAGGTAGAAGGAATGAGACCTATTTTACTTAGAAGGCCATCTATAACTGCGGGCCTATGATCACTGGCTATTTCAGATGGAATGTTGGAAGTGGTAAGCAAGTCATGTTTTGGCATCATAAGTGGATTGGTGAATTTCCACTTAAAGTCACATTCCCTACCTTTTTTCTTGTGATTTCTTAACCAAATGTGCTCATTGAAGATGTTATGGAGAGAAGAGGGAATGGTTTCTCATGGAATATAAATTTTAGATACAAGCGACTAAGTGTAGCTATTTTTACTCAATGTTGTATGTTGCTGGAATTGCTGGACAAAGTATATATCTCACATGATGCGGTTGTTGAGTTGATTTGGGAGATTGAGGGTGCTGGATTTTTTTCAGTTAAATCTTGTTATAATTTATTTTTCCACGACCGTTATAGATGGTCTTTCCCTGAGATTGTTCAAATTTGGAAGTAGCCTATCCCTTATAAAGTACAAATCTTTATTTGGTTGGCGGCACAACATAAGATCTTAACCATAGACAATCTTATGAAGAGGGGAAAATTTTTGCCTAATATTTATTTACTCTGTAAAGAAGATGGTGAATCGGTTACACATCTCTTGATGCATTGTCCTTTTACTTTAGGGATTTGGCCTTGGCTTTTCAGATTGGTTGGGATTTATTTGGCTATGCTGCAGAGGGTTTCAGGGACAATTACTCAGTCAGTTCTTCTTTTTCTGCCCAAAACTAGGAGAACAATTTGGAAGATAGCCATAGGTATGGTGATGGGGGAAATGTGGAAGAAGAGGAATAGAAGAACCTTTGAAGGTATGACTTTGCCCCAACAAAAAGTGATTCTTTTAATTAAGCAGTCGATATGGTCCTGTATTTTTGTAATCAAGGAGGGATGGGGCATCACAAAAGTGGATGATGGTCAATCTATTTTCTCTTAGGGTTAGGAGGCATTGACCAAAGGCTTTGTGGTTAGCTCCACACTTAAGTTGCCTTAAGATTAATTTTGATGGTAGCTCTCTAGAAAACCCAGGTCCGGCGGGGATTGGGGGTGTAATCCGTGATTGCTATAGGAATAATGTGTTAACCTATACAGGACCGATTGGTGTTGCTACTGTAAATTTTGTTGAGATGAGTGTTGTTCTTAGAGGTTTGCTCAATTTTATAGACCATAACTTGGGGACAACCTGTTTAATTGAAAGCGATTCTTTAAGCGTTATTAGATGGTGTAAAAAAGAGCAGACTATTCCATAGGAACTTCGATCTTTATGGTTGCAGATTATGAATGTTACAACAATCTTGACTGTTACTTTCTCCTATGTTTATAAAGAGGCTAATGAGGTTGCTGATGCTTTAGGAAAAGGGGGTGTTGGGCTTGTTTCTCTCTCTATATCTCCTAATGTAATTTCTTTCTTGTTTATCAATAAAATTTTGAACATTGGTAAAAAAAAAAGGTTGCATCCTTATATAAACTTTTTCCTTTAAATAAATATGTCGGCTAAAGCGCTAAAACGTGTCTGATGAATAAAAAGACGAATTGATGGTTGTTTGCACTTATGGGTCGTTTGTGTTCCTCGATACGTAGATCCTTGATTTGTCTCAAAACTGGTTATGTTGATTCTAATATAATGTAAAAACTGATTTTAAAAACAATGTTGTTTAGCTGGCTGTTGGAAAAACGTGCGAGTTAGATCACCTCAGATTTGAGGTTGAGGAGTCTACGACCCAAGGAAGAAGATGCACTGACTGGATGAGCAACAAACTCAGTTTGAAAATCGGTGACAATGCTTCAGGGACGAGGAATGGATATGGCGAAGATGAATCTGACTCTGATACCATGTGAAAAGTCTCAGGTTTTTTTAAGAGACTCTATGTATCCATTAAATACATAGTTGTCTTTTATAAATAAATTATAGATGAGAAAAATAGAAACTAAATCACAAACACCTAAATCATACCCAAACTTACCATAAAAAAAAAATATTATACCTACCCTTCCCACATATATTAATTGTAATATATACTTTCCATATTAACCTAGTACACAATATACGCTTTCCTTTCACAGAACGCAGTATATGAAAAATACCATGTTTAGCACCATGAATATGAAAACTAGGTTTTGGATGTTTGTTGTTAATGCAGTTTAGCCATTCATTCCGTAGGTTGATGATTTCTTAGCAATACATGGCCAATAAAAAAGATTTTTTGGAAATAAATTATAAATAAAATTTTTTAATATTTTTATAGGTAGAATTATGATTCTCTCTCTATACACAACCCATAATAAGTTATTCTCAAATTGCATCATATCCATTATACTGTATCGCAATAGATAGTGAAGAAGTTAAATACAAAACCCCTCAAAAGTCCAAAATTACACTTCACATATGTTTTGTTTTTAGGCATAAAGAAATTAAATTGTTGCATAGGCTGTGCTATGCCATGTCCTCAATGAAAACCTAATCCATGAGCTGCATAGGAGGTAAAACAATGTCAAACCACTTTTTTTCAACTTCATTTGTTTATGCACATACAATTTGTAAAGGTTTAAGAGTTGTACTAGCATGAGGGTTTTTTTAAGTAAAAATTACACCCATATTTCAAAATTACCAGAACATACTCCTCCCAATCAGGCCCAATTATTCTCCTAGTACCTTCATCAAATTGGAAACCATGAAAGAGTTGTTTAACATTCCTATTAGTATACCGCAAAACATTTAACTCTGTTTTTTAGCCTCTCTATGCAAAATTCTTGTCCATACTCCTCACACATAGCGAATGATATTTCTCCCTAATCTTCTTCATAATCCCCATTTCTACTATGCTCTCAAACAAAAGTTCATGTAACAAAAGCATTACAATACATCAAAGTGCATACGCATCGATACTAGGCAAAAGAAGAAGAAGAATGCAACATTGTCTTCTTCGATGTCAATAAAAATCACATAAAAAGCAAACGAGAAATCCACAAAAAAAATAGCCATTGACCCAAAAAAATTACAAATATCACAGATCATCAGACACGACACTGTGTTTTTTGATGAGGAAGATATTGTCTTCTTTGAAGTCCATAAAAATCACATACAAAGCAACAAAGCAAACGAAGAAATCAGCCACCCCCGCCCACAATATTGTCTTCTTTAATGTCAATAAAAATTGCATAAAAAGCAAACAAGGAATCCCTAAAAAAAATGGCCATTGATCCAAAAAATTACAGGTATCATAGATCATTAGACAAGAAATCCACAAAAAGAGTCCCATAGAGATAGTTAGAGCTATAATAACAGGAAATCCTCAAAAAATCTTAACTAAAATGCCACAAATCGCATGATTACTCCCAAAAATAGCCAAAAAATCACATAAATTGGCAAAAAAGTGGTCATTAATAAACATATCTCAACAAAACCCTAAAAGGATAAAAGGCTTTACAAAAAAGAAAAAGTCACATAGTAGTGTACTTTTCCATTTCATGGAAAGAAATTAAATACACTTCTTGGTAAATGGATAATTTGACTCTGTCTCTCTCTAGAAATCTCTAATCACTGCCTCCCTCTCTCTCTCTAGTTCTTCTATGTAGGGTGTCTCTCTCTAGAAATCTCTAATCACTGCCTCCCTCTCTCTCTCTAGTTCTTCTGTGTAGGGCAGTGATTTCTAGAAATCTCTAATCACCGCATTTCTCTCTCTCTAAACACCGCCTCTCTCTTTAGATTCTTCCTTAAGCTAAGGCGGTGGTAAAAACCACTCGGACCTTATAGAAGGGCGGTTCACAAGCCTATAAATAGTACGTGGGTACCTTATTTTGGGTGAGTAAAAAAGCCTGGATAAAAGGCCTGACTAGTGTGGTACTTCAATCCACATTATTTTGTTGTATCTATGTTATTTTATGAAATAGTGAAATATCCTTGAATACATACTGCTTCCTCTTCACCTTTATCATCGTTCTTTGTTAGTTTTCAATTAAATTACCATATCAACGCTTCCGCAAATTCCCAACATTTGGTATCAGAATGAGGTTCCCAGTGCTTCATAGATAATAAAAAACCCATTTCCTATGGCCTCCACTTCGAGTATGAATTATACCAAAAACCTAATTCCTATTTTAGATGGAGAAGACTATGAGTCATGGAGTCTCCAAATGAAGACTCTTTTTATCTCACAAGATTTGTGGGAAATTGTGGAAGAAGGCTATTCAGTGTCAAAAATTGTAGCAGCATTGGAATCATGGTCGCATGCAAAGCATAACGAGTACAAGAAATATAAGAGGAGAGATGCAAAAGCCCTACTCTTCATCCAACAAGCGGTAAGTAAAGCTATCTTTCCTCGAATAAAAATGACTTCAAAATCAAAAGAAGCATGATAAATTTTGAAAAATGAATTTCAAGGATTTGAAAAAAAAAAAATTTCTATAAAACTCCAAAAATTATGGTGAAATAGTTCATAATTTCTTCACTAGAGTTACAAGAATAATAAATCAGATTAGATGTTAGGGCGAAGATATTTCTGATAAAAAAATAGTTCAAATTTTTTTAAGAAACCTATCTGCAAAATTTGACCATGTTGTGGCTGCTATAGAAGAATCAAAAGATTTATCTAAACTATCTTTACAAGAATTAAGTGGGTCTTTGGAAGCACATAAACAAACGATAAATATATTTTCAAATCAGAATATGAAACAAGCTTTTCAGTCAATGGTTACAATTTTTTAAAAGAAAAACTTTGAAGAAAAAAGAGATAGAGGGACATTTCAAAATTATCAAAGAGTTCATGGAAGACAAAAAATTTCAAGAGACCAAGAAAGAGGAAGAGGAAGAAATATGAACAACCAGAGAAATTCAGATAAACAAAATAGATCTGAATCTTATTGTATTATTTGTAAAAAATCAGGGCATGAATCAAAGAATTGACGATATAAATGTAAAAACTGCAGAATCTCAAATCACTCTCAAAGAGATTGCTGGTTTCAAAAGAAAAATCAAATTAAAAAAAATGAAGCAAATTTTTTTGAAGATAATAATACAGGTCATATGCTCTATTCATGCATGAATGCCCAACAAAATTCACAAGATGTTTGGTACCTGGAATGTGGCTGTAGCAATCATATGAAAGGAAATAAGAGCAATTTTGTTGAAATAAATAAAAAAGTCACTTCACAAGTCAAGCTAGGAGATGGAAAACTCCAAAATGTTGAAGGAAAGGGAATAATTGTCGTAAAACTTAAAGGAGGTTGCCCAAAATTTATTCATGATGTTCTTTATGTTCCTGGCTTGACACAAAATCTTTTAAGTGTTGGGAAATTGATGAAAAATGGATATTCAATCAATTTCAATAGAGATAAATATATAATTTTTTATAAGAAAAATAGACAGACATAGCCAAGGTAAAAATGACCCCAAATTATGTATTTCCTATGGTCATGCCAACATGTGAAAATTATGCCCTGAGTTCTGAAAATATTGATAAATCCTACCTATGGCATCTAAGATTTGGACCCTTAATTTTTTGAAGTTTTAAAATTGATGGGCCATAAAGTTATGGTAATCGGATTACCACTAATAAATGAAGAAAAGGAAATATGGGAAGGTTGTATTCATTGAAAATTATACAGATTACTATTTTTAGAATCATCTTGGAGAGCTAGACCTCCATTGGAACTGGATCATGCTGATATTTGTGGACCAACTCAAACTGAAACCTTTAATAAAAAATTGTATTTTCTTTTAATTGTTGATGATTACAGCAGGATGATGTGGGTATATTTCTTAGCCCAAAAATCAAAAGCATTTTCCGTTTTTACTCAGTTTAAAACTGATGTAGGAAAACAAAGCGGTTTTCCATTAAAATCCTTAAGGACAAATAGACCATGAGAATTTACATCAACAGAATTTTGGAATTTTTACAAAAAGAATGGATTTAGAAGTGAGTTGACAGCAACATATACTCCACAAAAAAATGGAGTAGTAGAAAGAAGAAATAGGACAATTGTTGAAATGGCCCAAAGTATGTTAAAAAGTAAGCATCTTCCCAATAAATTTTGGGCTGAAGATATTTATATTGCTGTCTATATTTTTAATAGGTCTCCTACTAAATCTCTTCAAAATAAAACACCCTTTGAGGCCTGGTACAATAGAAAACCAAACGTAAATTATTTCAAGGTTTTTGGATGTATTGCTTAAGGAAAAAGAACTTCCCAAAATATAGAAAATTTTGATGAAAAAGGCGAAAAGTATATTTTTATTGGATATAGTGAAGTTTCAAAAGCATATCTCATTTTCAATCCAAAAACAAATAAATTGGTAATTTCGAGAGATGTTGTTTTTTATTAGAAAAGTGAATGGAAATGGAAAAAAAAATTTGGTTATTTAAAAGTAGAAGAAAATACTCCACAAGAAAGAGCAAGCTCTCAACTACCAAACTCAATATCAAGCCCAAGAACACCATCTCCAGGCGCACCAAGCCAAGACTCATCAGACTCAAAGACACCGTCAGGAAAGGTATGTTCACTAAGAAAAATTTATGAATCATGTGATATTGCCTTTTTTGCTAGTGAGCTAGAAAATTTTAAAGAATGGATAAAAGCCATGGATGAAGAAATTGCAGTAATAGGGAAAAATAAAAAATGGGAGCTAATGGACCAACCCGAGAACAAAGAAGTCATAGGACTAAAATGGGTCTACAAGACAAAATATAATGAAGACGGCTCAATCCAAAAACACAAGGCCCGGTTGGTGGCAAAAGTCTATGCTCAACAACCAGGAATTGACTATACTGAAACGTTTGCCCCAGTTGCACGAATGCAAACTATTAGAACTGTCTTGGCATTAGCTGCACAAATGAGGCTGC